TATATATATATATAATGGCCAAAAAAAAGTAATATAACCTTTACATGCCACCTTTTCTGTAGAGAGAATTTGAGTAAATGAAAAAACGTATGATAAAGCAAAGCAAATTTAAATGAAATATAAGATGTTCTTCAATATTCATCTATATAGCTGTACAGCATCTCATCCTTCCTTGATCTGCGCCTACTGAGCAGAGTTTTTAGGAAGCTTTTGCTTTTGCTTGGAAGCCGCTCAATCTCCTTCTTGTCATTCCTTTCAGAATGCAATTTCATTGAGACTGATTTATGAGCCTCCACAGGAAGCTGAATCAGAAAGGAAAAAAAAAAAAATAAAACTTGATAATAAGCATTGAATATCTCAGAATCATGGTATTACGGATCTACATGAAGCAAGCAATACTCTTTATATATTAGGCTCCCCCCAGCATCCTACAACCGTTGTTAGTTCAATCCAAAATCTAATTGTGTCAATCAATCAATTTGTATGGCTGACTCGGACTTTAATTCAATCGGTTAAGCTCACCCGAGTTTGCAAAGGGGCCTTACTCCTGAAAGTTCTTTTTTTCCCGTACAACCGTACATCAATGCGGTACTATACACTCATGCTGACTTGGAGATAGATAGCAAAGTGCCGCGGCGCTCCAAAACTGGGGCCGCGACACTGCCAATAAGGTTGGAGACAGAGTGGAGAGCCGCAGTGTTATGAGTTGGGCCGAACAGTTTTCTTTCTGATTTTTCAGGTTTAACTTGAAGGGCTCTGTCCCTTGGGGTGGTGGTCAATATTTCTCTTTGTCAGTTTGTATGTGAATGATGTAAGAGTGAAGAGAGCCAAGAAGAGTGATGAAGAAAGTGATCTGTAAAATTTCTACAAATTTTCATAGTGGATTTCTTGTAGTGTGATTCTGTGGTTTTTTTCCCAGTTCTGAGTTTTTCCAACTTAAATACTGGTTTTCTTTCTTTTCCGCTACATTTTTTCTTTCTTATTTGTGTCCGCTGCCTGATTTAATTTCCTCTACAAACGCACAAAATTCTAATAAGACCAACCTTTTTGTAACAAGCGTAATACAAACCCTTTACATATCTCAGACTTGTTAGAGCTGTTTGGTATCCTATTTAATGAAGGATGAGCAAGAAAAGCTTAAATCCTGCCAAACAGAATTTTGGAGACCTTAAATTTTACTAGTTCAACCCTGTTATCAGTTAAATAGAGGGTTAGTTCAATCCCACCATTCATAGGATTTAAAAGAGTTAAAGATTTCTCCCTTCTTAAATCTTAAATCCTTAAATAAATAGCAAAACAATTTATCATGCAAAAAAATGTTCAAGTTTTAACCCTCTCAAGCTTAACTGAATATGGATTTTGCTAAATCCTACTCAAGTAAAATCCAATTGTTTTTGCTACAAGGTTGATGTAACATTAGAGTTGCATTTAACTAATTTTCCTGTATTTGGTTCATGTTGACGATCCATTCCCTTTAGACATTTGCTAAAGTAAATAGGACCAAATCACTCAAATTAATAGCACTCTAAGTAAGGTTTGCTTGCTCTTGCTAATTACCATTTATTTAAGGTGAATAATTCAGAATAAAATTCAAATAACAATGCTACACAGTTGTTGAGGCATACCTGTCGTGCACTATTTGATGAGTTTAGAACAGCTGGCCTGACTGAAAATGAACCAGAGCGTGCAAGTGGATTTGCAGTTGGCAAAGGTGAGATTGCTCTTTTATCTGTTTAGAAAGAACAACAAGCATGATATAATCCGCAAAGTATATACAATAGAGCTTTAGCTGATAAAAAACAGATGTTACCAGTGGTCCATTTTCCAGGCCGTGGGGAAGGTGATGGTGATCGCCCTTTCCGAGGCGATGCAGAGCGAGCACGCATGGTAGGGGAAGGTGAGAGTGAACGCATTTTTCTGCTTGCAGTTTCCAATCACATCAAACAACAAGAATTTCAAAAGAACACAAGGAAAGAAAGATTTTCAGCACTTAATATCATTACCTGAATGAAGGAGGTCTGTCTCTCAGACTGGAGCTAAAATCTGCAAGGAAATAATTAGAATGAATGGAAACTAAGCATTTTACATATCTTCAAACTCAAAATCACGAGAAATATATGATTAAGTCGAGTAACATCACCAGCGCGAAACTGTTGCGATTCCGTATCCTCCTTGGGTCGGAACAATCGCTCTTGATTCACAGCTGTAGCTTTCCTACCTGATTCAGGCAATGGTTCATCTACTGAAAAGATGAAAACAAAAGAATTATCAGACTTGGAACAGCATATGAAAGATCACTCAAGAAATACAGTGGGAACTTCTAATAATTATTAAAAGCAAAAGCATCAAAGCCAGCTAATTTATAAATGATACATAATAAGAAGAAAAACTTGCCTGGTATTATGTACCGTTTATGGAATTTAGGAGCAGCAATTACTAAAGACTGTTGAGCACGCCCTTCCCGATCGATGTGCTCCTGGCATGTTCGAATTCTCTACGAATGCAACATACAGAAAGCTCAAAATTCAACTACTGCATAGGTGAACATGCTAAATATTGTACAAACGAAGTTTCTTAATTTGTAATGTAAATTCTAGTCCCTCAACTGATTTCAGCTTTCAAACATTCCAAATCATTTAAAACTTGAGCACTATGGAAGTAAGTTACAATGAACATGATAACTGGCATTATGGAGGTAAGAAATTATCAAAAGAAATACCTGTTCAATGCATGATACTCGAAGTTCTGCACCCGACACCTCGTCGACCTTTTCATCAATAAGGCCATTGACCTTATAAGATACTGAGCCCAAGTGATCCACAGTATTTACAAGAGCCTTAACAGCATAATCTTTCAAGGTATTCATTACTCTACATATAAAGCATGTTATGTTTCAAGTTAGAAACAAAAGAAAATTACTGCAATTGGGCCCTCCTTTTGATGTTGTAAAATCATTACAGGATTCACATACATCTGTTTTTGCTCATCTTTACTGTATGATAATTCAAAGTATTCTGCTGCTGAGTATAACTGTGACCTCAAGTTCTTTAAATCCTGGAAATCAACCAGTAAAAGTAGCACGAACGATCACATATGCATTTCCTAAACTTAAGAATAGTTATGAATACGATCAAGGAATACAAACTAACTGACACAATGAAAGGTGTATGATATTCATACTATAAATCTTCTGAAATTCTGGAAAAGGGAATTATGTTTATCATTATAAATTTGAATTTGTGTTATTAAAAATAAATGCAAACATCAATAAAGTCCTCTAAATGAACACTGATAACCAAAGGAAGGAGGAGGACATATGGAGGGAGAAATTATTACGTGCGGTCACAGGAAGTCATCCGGAGGCGAATCAAGATGCACCGCATCACCATTTTGCTATCTATCAAGTGACGTAGAGCATCTTGATTCGCCTTCAGATGGTCTGGTGACCGCACGCTATGATTTTTCGTAGGAAGGACTAGGTTGTAAAAAAAGAGTAATTAAGTAAAGCCATGATGAAGAAGTTATGATGATATTTTCCTTCAAGGACTGGAACATACAAATCATAAAAATATATTTTTGTTCCTGTTACAATTAAGTCAAAGCACGGTTATCACATGCATCTATTCAATTTCAATCATCCATAAACTTCATTTGTATCTAACGATTTAAATTCATCAATAATTTTATAATTTATACTTGCTAGCTTCCCCAAGGCTATTTTTGGATGCTGGAAAATGGGAGTTTGAGTAAAAGTAAAAGGAAAATAAGTTCTGAAAAGGTCAAATCAATGTCTGTATATTCATAATCAATGAATAGATTTTAAGAATTTCATTTCATTTTCTACACTTACCTTCAATACATGCAAAGCCTAATAGAAGTCTCGACAAATCAAAGAGAGTCAAAAACAAAAGCAGATTGAACTAGATTAACTATCAAAGGAAAAGCTTCTTCATCGCCTATCTCAATATGTAGCATCAATGGAAGCAATTTGGTTCAGCTACCTTGAGGCTGTCCGTGAAGAGCAAGCTTTGCTGCATAGAGAACTCATCAAAGGTGACCGACTCCCGGCGAGCTGAAATAGAAGAAGACGACGGAGACAGAGTCTCCATAGCCGCTGCACCTTACTTTGTTTATGCCCTAACCCTGCAACCAAAGCAATAACCCCCCTTTTTAATTCCCTTGACTGGACCAACTGAAAGCAAAACAAAAATAAAACAAAACGGACGCAGAACAATCTTCTTCCCGAAAAAGCAAACCCCAATGTTTTTTCACCCCATTTTCTTCCAAAAATCAAATGTCTAGTATGAAAACTCTATCGTCTGCCCCCTCTGAGTCAAAACAATGAATACCAGGTTCCTACACAGACTAATAACACTGAAACACAACTCTTATAAAAGTGCTAAGTTATCTCAAGAGTAAACCATGGAATTCAAAATGGAAGCTTGCAGTAATCAGATCTATTACCTGGATACAGAAAGCCCCCTCTTGCAGATGAAGTCTTGAAGATAACAAACAGAGGAAGGGAAGGAGCCGTTCGCTGTCCTGTTTCCAATTTCCAAATCCAATTTCAAGGACCACGAAGCATTTCCCATTAAAAAGCTAAAGAGGGTGACATTATGTTTTCTTAAAGAGACGTGCTTCGCACCATTAAGAGTGTAATTAATGATCTCGAGCACAAAATTCTACCAAGGTGAAAACCCTAAATTGACAATTCACCCAATGTAACTTCGGATTATCTGTATCTTTGTTTAAAGTGGCGCCAACAGATTATTAAACTGGGGATCTGTGTTCAAATAGTTTGTAATCAAGTTCAAGTTGGTGGGCGAGTACGGTTGAGAATTTCTTAATCCGTGCTCGATTCCCCTCGAGAGGCAACGCTTCTTGAGTGAGATCCAATCAAGTGCGGGTCAGGAGGTTTTTGAGGTGGATGCCTCTTCTAGATCAGCCGAAGATTAGTCGTGCCGACAAGCACCTTTTTCGAGGGTGGCAGCGAATAGATACTCCGTTCTCCAAAAAAAAGTCCGGCTAGGCCGATTCGGCCTGCATTCACTTCAATTTTTTTATATGGGAATGGAAATTTTCTTGCCAACTTGGAATAGAATTCTAATTGGGCTAGGTGAGTTGTCTTGCTCAACACAAGTTTAATAGTGACTTATAATGCCATGTTAATTTTATATGAATTTCTTATGTCTCTAATTGTTGACATTTATAATATTTATGTTATGTGCAGGACATTTAGTTGGTAGTGTGAGGATTGATCTCTATTATTTTAGTAATTTTTTTTTCAATCTTATAATGCAAATAGGTAAATGAAATAGAGAAAGGAAAAATATGCTTTTTTTACTTGAAGATTGAAAAGGACAAAATTTGTGAAGTCTTATCTACTTTGAATAATTTTTATTATTTTAAAGTAAAAAATATATATTTTTTTTCATTATTGTCCTCAAGGAATTGCAAAGTAGAAATGAATAGGATGGCGACGAACGACTAAAACAATTGTCAAATATAGGATCCACATTGATAATAGTGGACACTGCAATAATCATGAAAGGTTCAACTACATTATAAATTCATTTCTGTATGTTTTTGTTCAATGTTTATACCTATTTAATTTCGATTAAAACTGATGAGATAAATTTAGACCCCAATATAAATATAATTCACTCAAATGAGGCTGATTGAGTTGTGGACAAGCTGAAATAAAATGGGTCAATTGGATATCAAAACAAAGCTAGATGGACCTAGAAAATTCAATTGGATTTAATCAAAACTGGATAAAATGTAATAGATGGACTTTTATCCATGATTCCATCTAAATGATGCACATTCTATTGGCTGGAAAACCATATGACAACAAAGTCACCGATTAGAAAGACTCGTACATGAGAGACATTAAAGGAGGAAAAATATTACCTTTAAGAAGATTGTGATTGTATGTTTAAAAATTCTTGGAGGATTCGTTAATGATTTAGATAAAAAACGATGGGTGAAGAGTGGATGAGTGAGTTGGAGCTGGTGGCACATGTATATGTTAGAGATGTTAGTGCATGCATGGATATAGGCACTTAGTGGAAAGAATCATGATGAAATATGTGCAATCAACAAGAGTTTGAATGACAACAAGAATCAAGCATACAGACTTGTAACAGATTAAAAGGAGATTAGGTCATAAGTTTGTGATAAAAAATGATAAGCCTGTTACTCTTATAGAGGGTATGAGACTATGAGAGATGTTATTTAAGGCATTTCAATAACTTAGAAGGCGATGATAAGGACAGTTGGTGGGCACTAAAAAGAAAAGGTTGACTCCCTTACAAGCATCAAAGTGCCGGAGTGTAGAAAGAATAAGGATGTTAAGAGGAACTGAGGGTGTTAGTGTCACACCCCGCCATCGGACTTGGAAGAAATAACAAGAACCCAATCGTAAGGTGTGAGCAGAACAAAATTTATAAAATAATTTCAACTCAATGGTTATAAAAGACTTCAATAATTTGTATCCACTAATAAATTATCAAAGCATCTAAACCCAAACACATACTAAACGTCCACCAAACATAAATAAATTTCATTACACAATTAAATACATTAAATAACTCTAACCTTAATTATCTATCCTAGATGAAACTGATGCATGAACCTAGAAGTTTCTCAAAAGCTGCCCAACTACCAATCTGAAATTATGAAGTATTAGGAGTCAGTTTGCAAGAACAAACTCAGTAGGTAAAACCCCTCTAAATAAAACATAAAAGGTAAGATATGGGGCATAAATATGAGCAAAGAGAGAAACATAAATGAAAGATAAACACTTAAATAAAATAACATGAAATAATGTATAAAGTAGTATATTTTGAATGTACATACTTCATTTATTGTAGCTTTTATATTGTAGAAGTGTAGAGCTCGCGAAGAACTATTTGAGCGAACTAATAATCATACATTAAAATGCAGATACATTCGCTTGCAAGCATTTAATATTTATACATCTATCAATGACTAATTATTATTTTCCTCTTTATACATATATTCATATTTGATTTACTATAATACCCTGCTGGAAAAGCTAGACACCAATCTCAAGAAAATCTAATGATTTCATATAGAGTTGCCACTCTGACAGCCCGTCGATCTGGCTAGCCAATATGTAATAGGGTTAAATGTCGACATTTACAAGCATCAAAAACACAACACACAAGCTTGTATTGTATACAAATTGTATTTGAGTAATAGTGCTTAACAAGGGTTATAACATAATTAAGCTCAATTATTAGACAATAGTTATTCATAGTGATCGGAATAAAGAACATGAATTATTTAGGAAACTCAGCAGCATTAAACATGACAATACTTAATATCAGATCATGTCAAAATGATAACTTGAAATGCTGTGAATAAATTGGCGCATTGTATCATATCTTATCAACAAATAATAAGTAGCAAGGGGATCAAGGAAGGATATGTTTACCCCTTACTCAATAAAGAGTTACCTACCAATTAGAGTCTATAAATAGTTGAAAATTCCAATCAAGATGAGGCTCCTTCCACTCGAATATGTGGTACTTTCACAAATCCTAAATTCACAGAAGTCTAGATGAATCATATATTCAATATATCACACACCAAAACATAAAATAATGTAACAACCACTCAAACATCTTTTTGAAATAAAGTATTCCACCAAACACCCTAAGTTATTTTTCATGATAATCTCAAATATTATTAATAAATCAAGATGATTATATTTTAAATGTATAACTAATGTGAGAATAAATAGATTTATTGTATTCTAAAGTGGAACATGAGAATTCAAATCTTAAACTCATATATACAATCGTTAAAGGCAATCCTTATAATTTTTACTATTAACATTTATAAAGGTTCCTAAATTTTAATCACCATGGAAATATAAGAATTACTAATTATTAGCAAGGAGAAATAAGGCTAGGAGCTAGGATTTACACTTCATCTAAATGAAGAAGAGGAAAAAGAAGAACTTCATGAGATATCATTATGATTCCCTCCTCACAATTAATTAAATATCCTTCTTCCTTATAAACAATCAAGCAATTGCCTCTTTCAAATTTCTAACCCTAAAGGAAAGAAATTAATGGTATTGCAAGAAGAAATGGAAATAAGAGAAGAAATAACTCCATCGGCTACTTTATTTACATCATCGAAGCCATGAAAACACAACCACCGAATGATGAAATAACCCACACAACCACCGAATGATGAAATAACCCACACAACCACCTATCTTTCTTGTTTGCACATTGTGCACCATGTTGAGATTGTTGCAATTTAGTTTTCCAATTATTGAGATTCTTGCAACATGTGTATTTTTGATGATTTCAAATATTATTATTTTACTTACTATTTCTCCTAATATATATTGGATATATTATTTTTATTATTTGTGTGTACTAACATTTCAGAAAAATCATACTCCAGACTGTTGAAGACTTCAAGGGAGAATATATTAGGATTTATTGTAAATAGAGTCTGTAATTTTCACTTTTATTAAGTTTGAGAGAGTGTGAATGTAATTGAGTAACCGTGCACACACACACACTAGGGGAGTGTTTAAAATTTGTAATTTTTTAAACTAATCGTACTGTACGATTTTTGTTTGTACAGGATGATTTGGTTAGTTTATTTTCTCCAGCAAGCAGTTAATTAAAATTTGGGCGAAAATTTTTTCTAAGTATTGTTCATAATGTACGAAGTTGGCTTCGTGCAGACGACGTCCAGAGTACGAAAATGTGGGGAATATTTTCATGCAGACAAACATGTTAATTTTTTGAATTGTTTGTCCGGGACGATATAGCTTTCGTACAGACGACATCCATAGTATGAAAATGTGTGGAACATTTGTCCAAACGAACATGTAAATGTTTTAAACTATTCGCCTGAAACGATCTGGAGTTCGAACATATGACTTCCAGAGTACAAAATTAGTGATAACATTTTCGTCCAAACAAATGAAATTTTTTTTTATAAATGTTCGTACTGTACAATATACATATTGTATGATATGATATGCTTGTACAAAAAATATTTTGTACAGGATCGTACCTGACAATTTTGAACTGTTCGTCCAGGATGAACATCGATTGTGTTGTATGCTCGTGTACGCTCAAAATGGTAATTTTCAATTTTATGGATGATTTTTTGTGTCTTCATATAAAAAGTTCATTGAAATTGACGTGAAAAGTGTTGTTCTTCGTGATTTTTCAAGAACAAGTGAAAGATTGTTTGTAGGAGAGTGTTTGAGAGAGAGTTCTTGCAAGTGGAGTGTGAAGGGATCACAATGTTACTCAAAGATAAGAATCTCTTTTGATTTTTGGTTATTACTCTTTCTTTCTTCTTTCTAATTGCTCGAGAGAAGATCTTTGAAGAAGATATGGTACTCTGCCAACACTTGAAAGGTGTAAATAGATGAT